TATTGAGATCATTATTAAAATTTCCTTTGAACATATAATTCATCTTTTGCCTTACAGGATCCGGTAATATAATTTTATGTATATCCAATACTTAAACTGTTCATTTTAATAATTTAGAAAGGAAGGCCCAGACAATGACCAGACCGGCGATCGGAAAGGTGTCAATGACCAGACCCCTAGAAGGAAGCTATAATGTCCTGTGGGAAAGACCAGATGCCAGAGATCGATCCGGAGACGATAACCTGATGTCCCAGGCCACCAAGGGCCAGTCCAGAGGAAAACACCCGCCTAAGAGACCGTCTAAGAGACCTGTCGTGCGGGAGGACCCATGGGCCCCAAGGCGGAGGTGCCAGGCCAGGCCGGCCTCATCACAAGACCAGGATCGTCATCAGAAGTGTCCATCTAAAGACGCCGAGTCAAGTTGAGGACCAAACCAGCATCACCGCTGCCATTTTTATTATTAAAAAAATTTCTTTATTTCATTCACCCATCGGAGAAGACGAACGATCACCCTAGCCAAAAGTCCCACTCATGTTTTGCGACACAGACACCCATCTATACGTGCCTGTACCCAAAAAAAAGGGGATCTGTTGTGGGCCTTTTGAATTTACATCTCAAAAAACATGATTTTATCAAGGCATAATCCTATATAACAGCAACTCAGCATAGCCGGATGTTAAGGGTTAATTTGTCTTGGTTGAACCCTCGAAGGACTCTAGTTAAGAAATGGACATAATGAGTGAAGCGAGTTCTTTTACAAGACAAATAGATTGTTTGAACTGTAAATAAATACTATTTGTATATTGGGGTCGGGAAGACTGCATATACAAAAGTTAATTAGACAGCCAAATAAGACTTTAAACCTTCAAATGGTGAAATCACCACACCAACAAGTGAAACTATAGTAACGTTTGAGAAGCGTAAACAACCCTTGAGTAGACTGGTGAGATATCAGTCTTTTCAAATGGTCTGTTCAAACTACAAGGACACCTGGTTATTGCCTCTCATCTTTACAATGGACAAACATCGGTTTAATGTGTCACTTTTAAGACTAAAAGTTAAATTCCGGTCATTTAAGGCTAAGAATTGAATGTATCTAACCACAAAGATATTACTACAAAAAGCATAGTATATATAGATGTTATAAAGAATAGGTTTCACACACCACCAAATATTCAGCAATGGGAATTGTATATCACTAACTTGAGTATTGAGATGATGAAAAGTAAGATATATTGTGAGTTAGCATCAGTTGTATGTCTTATCAGGAAACAGATGCTTTCACACAAGCTTGTATTTCAGGGAGGAATAACTGAATATACACATATATTCCATGGTTCTTATTTAGAACACTATAGCTATGATCAACTATATGTCTGGATAAGACGTATATTTAATACCTAAAATTACATGGAGTTCCACCCGAGGTATGAGTCATCATCAATACTCAAATTGTTCTATGGTACAAGACCGCCACCTGGCGGATAGGTGAGAAATAGCTTATGTACATACATTTCTCAACTAGCCAATCAAGAAGCCTGGTGGGAGGGTATCTTAGAACAATGGGTTAGTTGGTATAAAAGCCCATGCACCTTTAGAAAAAAAAAAAAAGACTGATCAAAAGAAAAACCTGACTGAAGAAAGACCTCATTAGAAGAAAATCGGAAGACATCTGAAGAGACCTCTCTATAACCCCTCTTCCATCCTTTCAAACTTCCAAAACTTTACTAAATTGCTAAATCTCTGTACTCCTAACTTCCTACATTCTCCCATACACTAAATATCTATCACTTGCCCTGTGACATCATTCTAAAGGCGTTCCATTGCCAGCTGAATCCACGGGAGTTTCATAGTCTGAATTCCGGTGTGTGGTGAGACTGTCCATTTAATTTTGCATTGTCTATTTTCTCTGTTGTGTAGAGTCATAGAATTACCTTAGTGTATCACAACTATATTGGGTAGTTATATATATGTAGAGAGATCCTGTGTTTTACTGTTAAAATTGTTTGGTGTCATATTATAAATTTTTCATATTTCATAATTTATTAAATATTAATAATCAGAGTATAATTTATCAGAGAATATATTCTCTTCCATTGCTATGGCCACGTAATGAGAGAAAATAACCTTTGAGATACTCAAAATTATTAGTTATTAATAAATTTAAATTTTAATCAGTATCATTTAGAAATTTGTGATATTGATTTAATTATTTAGAAACATTATTATTGTGTATTACATTGGTAGGGTATATCTTTGATTGTGTGTATCAATATTCATTTATCACCAGTCTTTTGCGTTTTGTGTTAATATATATATAATTTTTGTACATAAATACATTTTTATATTTATCTATTATAAGGCAAATTTTGTGTGTATGGTACAAAAATCATACTGGCTAAAAGAATTCAAGGTATAATAATAAGTGGTGATCAAATTATCAAGGTGTCCAAATTATTGGTTTACTAAATATTTGCCGTATTTTAACGGCTGGAGGCACTGTAATATTTCATCTAAGGGAAAGGGACACGCCCTTTATAAGTAGAATAAATCCTTACATAAACCACCACATCTTCCAGATCTTGCTTTAACTTCCACTGTTCCTGATGACTGCCATTTCTTAATTACATTCCGAACAGAGGATATTGACATCTGAAAACGCTTTGCTATCTTCTTATAGCCTTCTCCAGCTTTGTGGACGTCAACTATTTTCAGTTTCAGTTTTCTAGACAACTGCTTAGAAGAACCCATGGTGCTGATTGTTGGGGCAAGGTCAGATGAGTCTGGGCATTTAAAACCTTTGAGCTTGACATCACCTGGTCTTCCCAGACGATGATTGAGAACAATCCATGACACTGGCAGGTCTCAGCTTTGCAAAGGGGGCAGTGCATGCTATAAATTCTGCAGGGTGCCCAAACTTTTGCAGACGCCATTTTTTTTGTTTTCTGTTATTTTGAAAGTGTAAATGATGGAAATAAAATCTAACTTTTGTTGACATATTATAAGAATGTCTAATCTGTAATTTGAGGCCTTTTGGAGATTTTTCCATCTTTCCTTGGCTTCTTTATGCACATTAATACAAATTTTTAGCTGGGGTGCCCAAACTTTTGATCCCCACTGTACATGCAAAGGAGATCAGCTTGATTTAACTAAGTAAATGTCTTACTTCCAGTCAATTTCAGATATGTGCTTTTCTACGGCATGCCTTAGAACAGTGGTCTCCAAACTGTGGCCCGGTGACCAGATGCGGCCCTTTACTTGCTTTTTATCTGGCCCTTGGGGAACTATTTCATCCAATGATACCAACAATGGGGCATCATTACCCCCATTGACAACAATGATGGGGTAATATTCCTCCCAATAACACCAAGGATGGGACACAATTTCTCCCAATGACACTAACAATAGGGCCGTATGACATTAATGATGGGGTACAATTCATCTCAATGACACCAACAATGAGGCACAATTCCTCCCAATAGCACCAACGATGGGACACAATTTCTCTCACTGATGCCAATGATGAGGCAAATTTCCTCCCAATGACACCAAAGATGGTGTCAATGACTTTTCCCCACTAACATCAGGGACTTTTTTTACTCCTAATCCAGCCCCCAGAAAGTCTGAAGGACATTACCCCTTGGCACCGGTGCCTCCTGGTCCTTTAAAGGTTTCAGAAGTCGGGAGGCGGGGCAGGGTTTAGGGTCATGTGACCGCCGTGACACACTGTCACATGATTGGGAAAGGTCCCGATCGAAAGAGGAGATCGGGACCTTTCCATGAGTACTGGACATGTGTGCTGGGAGTGCGCAGGCGTGTGCTCTCAGCACATATGTTTTTTTAATAGAACGCAAATGTGCGGCCGCTCGGCGTCTAGGCCCAGACACCGGGAGGCCGCACATTTGCATGCGTCAAGAGGTTAAAAACTGGCCCTTTGTTTGGAAAGTTTGGAGACCCTGCCTTAGAAGATGGTCCATTGTTTTGATAGGAGTGATCAATGATCCCTATGGCTATACACTCCTCTGTCTAATATCTGCAGATGCTCAAGCTTTCCCTTTAGTGTGAAAAACAGTGGGGGAGATTTGCTAAAACTGGTACACACAGAATCTGGTGCAGTTGTGCATGGTAGCCAATCAGCTTCTAGGTTTTATTGCCAAAGGATAACTGAACAAGCTGAAGATTGAAGCCGATTGGTTACTATGCACAGCTGCACCAGCTTTAGTAAATATCCCCCATTGTATGTGGATCCTGGGCAGAAAACACATTACACAAAGACACTGACCTCCATAAGGAGTTGTGGAGAAGGATAGGCCTCTGTTATAGTTGCAGCCATTGCTGGACTGACTCTATTAAACTGCTGAATCTGTCTCTTCCAGGCCAATGGTAAGCCAGTGAGCGATCCTTTGGGTCCCCATTAGATTTTTTACATTTCTTTATTTTTTATAACAGAAAGTAGAAAATATTGTGTTTTATTTCCCCAAACTTTTTTGGGGTTTTTTTTTTTTTTTATATAATAAAAAATAACACCAAAAGAAGACTCAAATTTCACTTGGGTACAGTGTTGTATGACTGAGCAATTGCCAGTTAAAGTAGCACAGTGGTGAATATAAAAAAAATTCCCTGGTCATGAAGGGGGTAAAACCTTCGAGAGGTCAAATGATTAAACAGAGGCTAAGAAAATAGCTTCCTTGGCTGTAAAGGGCAAGAGGGTTTAGCTCTGCTCTAAGTGTATGTTATTTCAAGATGTTGCAGTTTGGTTATTGGCGTACACCTAAAACGGGAAATAATTTAGTAGGCATTCAGTGGATTCAAAATAGACAATTCATTTTAAATGTAAATTCTTTTTCCTTTTTATACCACCTGAAAATGCTGATTTGCTGAAAAACAGAAATCTAAATAATCCATTAAAGCAGGGCAATGATTATAAGGCTGCTCATGTCACTTGTATAACCTTTCACTCACAAGGAATTTACATTGTCCAGTCACTTTTTTGTGAACTCACCGGAACGGGCGCTGAGCTATACTCTTGGTCACAGCACACACATGTTGCCCCAGTTCTCTCCATGTATCCAAGAATAAGACTTCGGTCTCATGGTACAGCTGTAGAAAGATAAGTGCCTACCTCCACAGAGGAGGATAACAGTTATCAAAGAAGGTGACATCACAGAGAAAACTTTATTAGAATATACATAATGCTTTCACATTAAAATTTAGATTTGACAGCATGCCTAACAGTGATAATAAACTAGAGAAAAATCAGAGTTAAAGGGCAACTCCATCTTTTTGCACCATGTTACGCCCATATTTAGGTGCTGCCCCAATCTAAAAGGATCTTGTAAAGAGATGCAAAGGTCGCTCCTTTTCTTACAAAATAATTTTACATTCATGACTACAAAAAGTAAAAAAAAAAAAAAAAAAAAAAAAAAAAACACCTAAGCCGGGGCCACTGATGCAGAGAAGGTCTGAGATTCTTATTACAGCTCTGAAACTGATCAGAAAGAGGGCTGATCTTGCCACTTGGCAGTCAGTTTGCAAAAAGTTTTGACAATAACTCAGTTTCTACTGTAAATTACACAGGAAGGTTAAATAAAGTGACAAATCTTTAGTAAATTCTCCCCAGAAGCTAGTTTGAAAAATATATTATGGCTTCAACATAAAAGCCTCATTGCTCACTGGGTGTTTAGCCCCCCGTGCCTGAAATCCTGGCATTTTGGTGCAAATGAAAAGTTCACCATCCAGCCCCACTGCTGACAGTCTGAAAAAATCTATGAGAGGCTGAAAGCTGCTGCGGATGGATGGGACTGGGACTGGATGGTGCGCAGAGTGGTACTAACATTTAGGGCAGTATGTTCCCAGGAACGAATACCCAGAATACATGCAGTGTGCACTCCCAGCATTCATCCTTGGCCACATACTGCCCAGGGGCGGACTGACCATTTGGAAACTCGGGCACTGCCCGAGGGCCCGGGGTCAGTAGGGGGCCCCATGAGATGCCCCTGGTACCTTTTTCATAGGCTTTTTTGAGTTTGGACAAGGACACAGGGGCCCCATAATCCCCTATTGCCCGGGGGCCCCATGAGTTGTCAGTCCACCCCTGATACTGCCACAAACATTAGGAACACTCAGTGCAACATCCAGGCCTGTCCAGCCGCAGCAGCTTTCAGCCTCTCATAGAGTTTTACAAGTTGCCGACAGTGAGGCTGGATGGTGCAACCTTTGCCTTCCGCCCGCATCAAGATGCTGGGATCTCATGCTTCGTTGCTAAATGTCTAGTGTGCATGGGACCTGAGGTGTCTGGAACATGTAAACTTAAAGTGGAACTAAATGTAAAATAGAAACATTTGTGAACAGGCAGTCTTTTTTATTGCAGAAAAAAAATGCAATGTTACACTTTCCTGCCTATTTGCAGTCCTCTGTAGAATGTACACTGAACTGCACAAACTGGCAAACTCCCAGCGTGCCCGGATGACTGCACTCCTGCACATGTATGGGAGTGATGTCATCCCACATCAGCCAATCAAAACAAACAAAAACCAGGGTCCAAAAGAACCCAGGGAGAAGAGAACAGCGCCGAGCAGGGACTTTATGGGTGTCAGATTGTTGGAACTAGAACTAAGGTAAGTACGTGTGCCTTTAGTTCCACTTTAAGACAAAAATGTATTGCATAAGCTCACTGGGCCACATAGTCCCCCCCCCCCTTTAGGACACAATGCAGCAAAGTAAAAGAACTATGTAGCAAAACAAAATTCATTTTAGGCTCTTGCTTAAAACAAAAAATTGTATTCAAAATTTAGTTTCCAAAACTAATCCTAGAAGATGATACTAAAGAAGATGATGTATGGAGAAGTCTTTAACCGAGGACTGGTATTTAAATGTAGATTAGCTACCAACCTCATCTATATGTCGCCTGGTCACTTGGCTTTCTGGCTGTTCATCATAGCAAAGGCTTGGCTCTAGAGAGTGTCTCTCCATCTTACGACGACAGTCTTTGACATCTGGTGGTCAAAAAAACATTTACTATTAAAGCTCAGTCAGTTCACTTATACCATCTCAGTGTTTTCCGTCTTCAAGCATAAAAAGAGAACCCCAAATAAATAAATAAAAAAAAAAAGTGAGTGCTTTCAACGTCAGCAGCTATGCACTAAAGGTAACCAAATAAAACTTCAGTCAAAACAGTAAGTAAAGTGCAGCGCTATAAATAATTAAATAAATGATAATAATGTCCGTATAAAATGAATATTCTTATGGTGACAATCCGTGTGTAGAGTGCCCACTATGGCGGTACTTCAGTGCTTGTGTTTTTAAAAGTGGGGTAAGAATACGCACTCACCAGATGTGTAAAGAAATTACGCATTTAAATCAATCATCAGAGGTCCCCTTTAAGGAAGCGGATTAAGCCATGTATAGAGATATCCTCCCTCTGTATGGGTGGTATGTCAGGCACTTCTGGGTGGTATATGGATCCAGTAAACCAGAGAGGTCCCCTTTAAGGGATGAGTGGGTGTAGCAACCTGTGTAGCAGGAACTCCCTCCTCTGTGTAATAAGGTAGATCTTGATTCAGGGGTGAGCTCTAGGAAATCAATGACTCCACTTCATTAAAGGGGACCTCCGATCATTGATCTATATGCGTAATTTCTTTACGCACTGGTGAGTGCGTATTCTTACCCCACTTTTAAAAGCACAAGCACTGAAGTACCGCCATAGTGGGTACTCTACACACGGATTGTGTCACCATAAGAATATTCATTTATACGGACATTATTATAATTTATTTACTTATTTATAGTGCTGCACTTTACTTACTATAAAAAGAGAACCCACCTCTTTGTTACGTTAGCTTTTGGAACCAGAAGTCTGGTGTTGTTAGTGCACGGTTTTTAGCAAAAAACTGAGGACTTGGGGTAAATAATGCAGGTGCCTGTGAACTACACCCCACTATGCACTGATTACACTTGCAATGCTCTGCAGGACTGAATGCATATATTTAAAAGAGAAGCATTGCCAATCGTCTCCTATGGATCATAGGTGTGCAGCTTGTTCTGCACTCCTGTGATCCATTTTCTGACCTCACAGAGCCAGTCCAGGCTCCGAAAGATCCTAACCACATGGTTGGAATCCACCCAGAATCCTGGGACCGGCAACTGACTCAGCTTCTCAGCAATCCACTGATATCCTGAGCCAGCCACTCCCACCCCCGCCCCCCGCCTATCACTCCAGTGAGTGAGTGCTGGAGGGGCAGAGCAGAGAGCCAGTCACTGACAATCACTGCTCCCTTCTCAGAGTGGAGGGGAGAACTGAGCGATCAGCAGTGTCTGATCACTTAATTCTCAGTGGATAGCCGGTGGGGGACAGATGCAGCATCAGATTGATGCTGCATCAACCTAGGTGAGTAGAAGATTTTCTCTTTGTATAGCCCATACTTCTCTTTTTAATAAATGCACATTTTTGATTTTATTAATGTGTGCAACCTCACCTTCAACACTTAACCTTTAAGCAGAAATCGGGGCAAAATGTTTTTTGAACCATTCAGTGGTGCTGTGCCCATACTGCACGGGCCATCCCATCTGCTCGTTTTTGTCTAGGGGTCATAAGAGTGAAAATATACTTACCGAATCAGATGATCCTCAGAGCGCAACACTGGTCCTTGCCGCTTCCCCCCCCCCCCCCCATACTAGCGGTCTTGTCAATGGACTGTTCCTGACGTCATCATGCCAACAGACCGTCTCAGAGCCTGAGGATGGCAGGAACAGTCCACCGCTGGACTTGGGGGAGCGTGGTTTTCCGGAGGATCGGAGGACGGGATATATATAGCTTTTCCACTAAACCCCTGGACAAAACGAGCAGTTTTCCCATGCAGCGCACAGCCCCACTGCATGGGAAAGTAAAATTTTACATGGAGTTCTGCTTTAAATTTCAATCTGTAAACCAGACTTGCATCTTAAAATCAGACTGACTATTGAACACTGTAGCTTTGAACAGAAAGTTTTTTGGACAAAAAAATGTAAATAAAAATGTTTAACTTGAATCAGACTGGTATTATTTCAAAAGTGAAAGGTCCTCTTTAATGAAAGTTGCAGTCTGTAATCCAACTTACCTTCTATAATCATGTAGCCCCAAAACAGCCAAGGTGATCTTCTTTCCAGAACACTTCCTATCTATTCCAAACACAGAGGTCGGAGTCTCAGTCATGGCGTTTTCAGGAGCCAGGAATGGAGAGGGATCAGCTACTTTAGATCTTACAAGGCTGTTATTAACTTTTTCACTGCTGGGCCCGATGTCCATTTTTTCACCTCACATACCCAGACCACTTTGGCAATGTTTTCACTGGTTATGATCGGCAGCTGCTGATTGTGGCCCTTCATGAATTAGGAGAGTCTCAGGTACCACTCTGCCATAAGTTCATGATCAGCGTAGTGGCTATTAGCTTATAGACTAAGGCAGTGGTCTCCAAACTGTGTCCCGGGGGCCAGATGCAGGCCTTTGCTTGTTTTTTCCAGCCCTTAGGGCACTATTTCTTCCACTGATACCAACCATACCTCCCCCCATCACTGATCCCAATGAAGGGACACAACTCCCTTTAATGACATCAACAATTGACACCAATGATGGAGCACAATTCCTCCCACTGACACCAAAAATGGGGCATTTGCGTTTTCCCACTCATGTTAGGACCTTTCTACTCCCAAGGGCCACAATCCGGCTCCCCAAAAGTCTGAAGCACAGTAATGGCTCTTTGTTTAGGAAGTTTGGAGACCCTTGGCTTAAGGGAATGCAACTGCAAAAAGGATTACTGACATGGCCTACTGCAAGCAGTTCTGCCCTTACGTCAGTGCCAGTGAAAGGATTAAACACAACCTCCACCCCGATCATGCCATGCTTTTAATACCAATGAAAGCGGATCTATCATTACAAATTAGAAAGCACATGAATCAATATGGGAACATTTTACCATGACATTCTTTTGAGTAAAAAAAGTACCTTTTTGTTGTTATTAAAAAAAATGGCTGCTCAGGTGATCTAAAGCCTGAGTGGAAGAAAATGTGGGTTCAGTTCGCATCACTCACCCCTTGTTTTCCCCTTTGTTCTATCTGTATACTTCATATCTTTTCTATATCCATCTACAGTACATGCCTTTTCTTACATATTCCTTTGTAATTAAACTACTTCCACGTATAATCTCCCAAAATGAAAACAACTGAAATATACATAGACATTTAGCAACATTTTACTACTTCAAGTCTCTCTAAGGTAAGATTCACACTACTGTTGGTTGTGAACAAAATTGTGCGCTTTCCTGACGCAAAACATCCTGTACAACAAACACTTTACTCCTGCGCTAGGAAAGGACTCAGTAGACCTAATAAGAATGTTCTGGAATTTTCTGGAATATGCACTGCTTGCTGCCCTCAACAGACCGGGGTGGTCCGAATACACTGGATACAAATGGAGAAACAGAAAAAGGGCGCGCACCGACCTAGTGCATTATCGTTTAAAATAATGTATTAAAGAAACAAAAATAGGTATCATACTCACAATGGACATAATAACACAGGTATGTCAAACTGAACAAGGTGTATGATCCAAACAACATCTGAGTCCATACGATGGAACCCTGGATGACCAACTGGCTAACGCGTTTCGAGGACACAACCTCTTCTTCAGAGCCAACACTACAGGAGTCTGTACTTCTCTTTATATAAGTTACTAAATGGTAACAAAAGGGCTGTCCTTTGGCAGACACGTGGCAGTGCCAATATTTCTGAATTAATTAATTATTATTATTAGTAGTAGTAGTATTTATCAACTCCTAATGGCACTCCCATGCGTCTGTTTTCACACATACTGAAATGCAGGGTACGTTTTGATGCGGCATAATTTTTAACAGGGGTCAGGGGCTTCTTTACCATGATTCCTACATGTAGGGAAGCCCACTGAAATTAATAAACTGATCCACACATAACTCACAGGAACTTGATAAAAACGCAGTTAAAAACGCACAGATGTAAACTGAGCCTTAAGGCGGAGCTCCTCCCAAAAGGTGAAGTTCCGCTTTAAGGACTGCTCCCCCGCTCCCCATTAAGGACTGGCACCTTTGGGTGCCCAAATTTGACAGGTACCTGCTCCCATTTCCGGTCTGATTGCCTAGGCGATTGGAAACAGAAGTTGTCCTCCCCCCTCTCTGTAGTCTTTTGGGACACGTGACAGGTCCCAGAAGACTACAGGACCATTCAGGAAGTGCAGCACTACTCGCGCATGTGCAGTGGGGGTACCCGGCTGTGAAGCCGCAAGCTATCACAGCTGGGTGCCCACACTGATGCCGGCCTCCTGGAATACATGACGGCCTGCTGGCCTCCTGGAATCCAGGACGGCCGGTGAAACGGGCTGCGGGGAGACACACCACAGGACCGAGGGACAGGTAAATGGCTGTTTTTTAAAAGTCAGCAGTTTTTGTAGCTAATGAGTTATTTTTTGACAAGTGAGTAGAACTCCACTTTAAAGTGTTACTAAACCCTGGACCCTGCATTAACTATATCTGGCCTCCCACAGTACATAGAACATGGAAATATAATTATTTTAGTAAATATAAACTGCTAAGTACCTTTTATTTTATCAGCGGGTAGAGCAGTCTTGAGACTTCTATCAATGTCCAGCAGAGTACTGGATAAAGATGGTAGGAGGAGTTTTCATTCTCCCGACTGACTTATGAGGCTGCATGACCCCTAAACCTCTGTCTGGACAGTGCTTATTGACCCTGTGCTGGATATATGCACTCTCCCAAGAAAATAAAAAAAGGTCTCTAGCAATACACACCAAACTGTGCATGTGCAGCTTGTCTCCAAGGCTCTGTTCTATCAGCAGATGGATTGGGGACAGCAGTAGAAGGGGAGGATCAGAGAAGTCTGGATCAAACATAATTTTTACACAGTGCAGAGGATTAACCCCTTAGGTTCCACAGTGAGTATAACAAGCATGATTTACTGCATATACAGACTGATTTTACTGTTGTGGGTTTAGTAACACTTTAAGCACAAAAAAATAAAAAATCTAGGACACATACTGTAAACCTTTTTTTACATCTATTATAATTGACCTCAGCAAATGCAATTATTGTACATATGGCACATGGATATTGAGCTATATGCCCCATGGGTCCCTATATTATTATTAGTATATTATTATACAGGATTTATATAGCGCCAACAGTTTGCTCAGCGTTTTACAATATAACGGGAGACAATACAGCAACAATACAGTTCAATACAAGAGGGATAGGAGGGCCTGCTCCTTGGAGCTTACAATCTAAGAGGGAGGGGCTAGTGGTTCAAAAGTTAGTAACTGTGGGGGATGGACTGGTAGGAGGAGTAGAAGATTCCATTATTAGCTGAGGGCAGGATAGGCTTCCCTGAAGAGATAGGTTTTCAGATCACCTAAAAGTGAGCAGAGTAGGCGATATTCTGATAAATTGGGGTAGAGAGTTCCAGAGCATGGGGGAAGCTCTGGAGAAGTCCTGGAGATGAGCATGGGAGGAGGAGACAAGGGAGCTAGAGAGTAGGGTCGTGCAAGGAGCGGAGAGTACGGTTTGGATGATATTTGGAGACAAGATTGGTGATGTAATTTGGGGCAGAGTTATAAATGGCTTTATATGTTATTGTTAATGTTTTGAATTTTATCCGTTGGGCAATGGGAAGCCAGTGGAGGGATTGGCAGAGAGGGGTGGCAGATACAGAATATATATAAAATCTGCATGTTCTTCACCTTTCCAAATTTTACCTGAATGTAATAGAAGACACTCTTGAGAAATTCTCTAGGCTCCACCAGAATCAGCATTTGCTCTTCTTCCCCTTTACATAGATCCAGACCATCCTGGAATATAAAAACAGCGATTGGAAAATCCAGAAATATTTTTGTGTTAGCTGAATGAAAAGAGTTCGGACTTCAATTTCTGTGTTTCTCGTGTGTAGAGCAGTCCATGGAAATGAATAGGCCTGCCATTCATGCCACACATGGAAATGCACCTGCATTTGGTTGCATCTGCAGGTGTGAACCAAATCTAAGAGGAAGAGAGGACACCCCAAGATAGCAGCTCTCAATAGCTGGCATTATATCACCATTCTGAGCAAATATTTGTAGTAGGTCTTATGTGCACTCCTTATCCCCCCCCCCCCCCCCACACACACACACACACACACATTTCTTTTTTTGCCTCAAGACATATTATTATTACAGTGCTAGTGTTACTGTTTGTGTTTTTGTTGTATAATTTTGCTGTTGTTTTGGTAAAAATTTCTCTTCTTTGGTCCCGGTAGAGTAACAATTTTCTTACTTAATCCCCCAATACCAGGGTGGATTTGATTTAAATCAAACTGATTTAAATTACGATTTAAATCACTAGTCAGTAAGGCTTGATTTAAATCCTAGTTTTCTACATAAAGACTAATTCTTGCTGGTATAACTTTAATATGCAAGTAGATGAAGATTTTTAGAATAACAACTTTTCATATTAGTTTTTTTTTCCCCCTAGTTTAATAGGTTAATCATTCATATTTGGACAACTTTTCTGTTGTACTTAGGAAGGAGAAAAATAATCATTACCTTAATAATAACAATTTAAATAGATTTATTCAACTGAAACAATAACATTCCAGCATATGTTATTTGCTTAAACAAACATCCATGTTTGTTAACTAATTTGGCTAAACAAAATATATATATTTTAAGAAACTTAGACTGTCAGCCCCTTCCTCCTCACACTTAGTTTCACTTTCTTCTTGTGCAGATCTATTCCACTCCAAACAATCAGAAAAATATTGTTTCTATTCTATTCACTGAACTTCTTGAAACTTAGCACTGAAGGGGTTGATTCTGTATTCATAGGTTTGTAGAAGTTAGGATGAAGGTCTTTTTCTTAACTCTGTTCATGTTATAACATTTTTGCTGTGAAGAAGAGGCATGTGATCTCCGCTGAGTCAAATTCAGTTTTGAGAACTGCAAAAGTAAACCAAGCATCTGTGATAATATCTTGTAGGCAGAGAAACTGCCCAATAATCTTACAAAAACCTCTGGAAGAGCATGACATTGTGAATGGATTCATGGAATTTATTTACCAAAAAAAATTAAACATATACAGCCTTATTCTACATAATTAAAAAACTAATCTTTATTTCATGATGGAATAACCTTTGGATGGTAATATATTTTCCTCAAAAAGCATTTTATTCAAAAAAAAATCCGATTTAAATAAAAAAAAATCAGATTTAAATAAAAAAAAATCCGATTTTTTTTTTAAAAATTTTTTTTTTTTTTTTTTTCATTGATTTTTATCCACCCTGCCCAATACTGATGATCTCATCCCTCTGCATTCCCACCCTTGGAGGCTGCTCCCAGTGTTAGCCATGATAAGCTCAGAATACCTCTCTCAGTCTTAGTGCCCCCTGTGCAGGCTGATATCAAGTCAGAGGATTTTCAAAGTCCCCCCCAAAAAATTAAAAGTCAGCAGCTACAAATACTGTAGCTACTGACTTTTATTATAAGGATATTTAGATATCCATGGATCAAGTGCCATCCTCACCTGGGCTGGTTACTCACTGGTCTTTGGCAGCCCGGTGCAAGCATGTTTATTAATTGAAGTGCGCAGTGAGCCCTAACGGCTTCACAGCCAGCTACCTACTGCGCATGCACAAGTTGAGCTGCACTTTGTGAATGGTCTTGCAGCTTTCTGGGACTTGTGATGTGTCCCAAAATGTTGCGTGTTAAGAGAGGGGGGGGGGGGGTGAAGTTTCCTTTGGATCGCCTGGGCGAAGTTTCACTCGGATTGCCTAAGCGATCCAAGTGGAAGTGGGAGCAGATACCTGTCAAAACTAGATACCCGCTCGACCCCCCCCCCCCCCCAAAAAAAAAAAACAACGTGTGACCAAACATGTGGGGGGGGGGGGAGTTGGAGGCAAAAAAGCAGAACTCCCTCTTTTTGTGTGAAATTCCACTTTACCACTGTATGCTAGTTTTATGATACATTGATTATAGTTTACTGAATACTTACCAGATTACATGATGACATTATATACATGCTTAGCATTTGGCATTCAGCTTTAAAAAATGTATTTCTGCATATACCGTAGGTAAAAGGAAATACAGAAAACAGTGTATGGGAATTACATTGTGTGCAGTGGCTTGCTGTTTGTGCACAAAGGTGGTGCCATAAAAAGAATACAATGGAGACCTTTTCTCATAAAATATGAATTATTAGAATGTATTATTCTCTTTTTAACATAACAACATAAAGGAAACCTTTAGAGCTTCCAACCTAGAGCAAGAATTTAGCTAATGAAGCCAGAGAAAAATCAGAACGGCTCATCTAATCTGAGTTATTGACTCAAAGTCCTGAAAGCCTTTGGGTTAGCATAATAGTCCAGCAACTAGCATTTCCAATAGAGACTTTAGTACTGACAGCCCCTATTTGCTCTTACCAATTGTTCAGTGTCTGCCACCCCTCTCTGCCAATCCCTCTACTGGCCTCCATTCAGTGTCCTCCACCCCTCTCACCAATGGGCCTCCATCAGTGTCTGCCACCCCTCTCTGCCAATCCCTCCACTGGCCTCCATTCAGTGTCCTCCACCCCTCTCAGCCAATCCCTCCACTGGCCTCCATTCAGTGTCCTCCACCCCTCTCTGCCAATCCCTCCACTGGCTTCCATTCAGTGTCCTCCACCCCTCTCAGCCAATCCCTCCACTGGCTTCCATTCAGTGTCCTCCACCCCCTCTCTGCCAATCCCTCCACCACCCCTCTCTGCCAATCCCTCCACCAATCCCTGGCTTCTGGCTTCCATTCAGTGTCCTCCACCCCTCTCTGCCAATCCCTCCACTGGCTTCCATTCAGTGTCCCACCCCTCTCTGCCAATCCCTCCACTGGCTTCCATTCAGCCTCCACCCCTCTCTGCCAATCCCTCCACTGGCTTCCATTCAGTGTTCTCCACCCTCTCTGCCAATCCCTCCACTGGCTTCCCATTCAGTGTCCTCCACCCCTCTCTGCCAATCCCTCCACTGGCCCCCATTCAGTGTCCTCCACCCCTCTCTGCCAATCCCTCTACTGGCTTCCATTCAGTGTCCCTCCACCCCTCTCTGCCAATCCCTCTACTGGCTTCCATTCAGTGTCCTCCACCCCTCTCTGCCAATACCTCCACTGGCTTCCGCTTACTCAACGAATTAAATTCAAGGTGCGTACAACAACTAATAAAGCCATCCACAACTCAGCCCCCAGCTACATCACTAACCTAGTCTCAAAATTCCAGTCACATCCTTCTTTTCCTTCCTCCCAAGACCTCCTGCTCTCCAGCTCCTTTGTTACCACCTCTTATTGTTGCCTTCAGGACTTCTCCAAAACTGCTCCCACCCTCTGGAACTCCCTTCCCCAATGTGTCCGACTATCTCCTACCCTGTCCACTTTTAAACGATCCCTAAAGACTCATTTCTTCAGAGAGGGCCTATCCTGCCCCCTTCCTAGCAAACTGTACATGTATTTTCCTCCAACAGCCCATCCGCCGCAGTTATTACTTTTTGTATCAATTGACCCTCCCTCTTAGATTGTAAGCTCTACTGAGCAGGGCCCTCTGATTCCTCCTGTATTAATTTGTATTGGAACTGTACTGTCATCCTTTATATTGTAAAGCGCTGCGCAAACTGTTGGCGCTATATAAATCCTGTATAATAATAATAGTACAGATTTCCTCAAATAGGACTAACCCTCTCAGATGGATATTTTATTGCAGGTGACGTCTGGCAGACTGAGACTTCCCCAGGTTTCTTCTTAGATCTTGATTGCTCTTACAGGGAGAGATCTTCCTGCTATAATTCATGACTGTTCCTGGCCACCTTTGCTCTGGCTATGTTTTCCGCAGTCTAGAATAAATATGAAAACCCAATAGAGAGAATGGGACATCTCATAATGGCCACATCAGGTGTGAAAACCTGATGCTCAAAAAGATCTCAATAGGAGAATCCCCAGGAGATATAAAGAACTAACAGGCATTTTATCTCAACAGCACCTACAAAGAACTGAAATATCAGTTTGGAGTTGACTGATTCTTCCACGTTAAAATTTAAGTGGCTCTAATACAAAAAAGTGTTGTCTGTTCCAATCACAACTTACTACACATGTCCAGTCAGCAGGCATCTCTCTTCTCCAGGTAATGCTCCATTGCACAGAGTGTGGCTCTAAGGAGTAAGTATACCCAGCTGAACTCAGAGCTTCCAGCATACCTTCTGACCCTGCATCTTGGAGAAGACCTGCGCAATAAGAGATCAATCAACAACGCAATGTAGACGTATATGTGTGATTGACAATGATGCAAAAAGTTGATCTGTAATGTTAGCAAGCACCAAAAGACAATTTATATAGTGGCAACTCCCAATGAGTCACATTTGCTTGTAAACTCTACATGTAAGAACACAAGGCCTAACCTGCCAGATACCCTCTTCTGGTCCTCCAAAAAAGCTGCCAAACACCAATCTGAAATGGTAGCTTGCGCCAAAAGACAATATATATATATATATATATATATATATATATATATATATATTGCCAGTTCTCAATGTGCCCCATTTGTTTGTAAACCCTGCATGTAAGAACATAGAGGTCCATCACACTAGCTACCAGATTTGGTCCTGCAAAGGACTGCTATGATATTATAGGCTGATCTGAAATGGTAGCATGCACAAAAAGGACATTTAATATAGTGACACTTCTCAATGTGTCCCACCCACCAGCAAACTGATTCTGGTCCTTTCCAGAGCTGCCATTGGCCAAAATCTGTTTCAGAAACTGGGAAAAATAAGCGTAGGACATTTTCCTACCTGCATCCACCTGGACAACCATAAATTTCCCACATTGATCTGGCCTCAGGAGCTTCAGGGCCTGTGCTGATTCTTTCCTTTTCTCTCGTTCCTCCTTTTCCAGATTCTTGATCTTCTCTTTCTCCTGACGCTTTTGTTCCTTCTCCCTCTTCTTCTCCTCAGCCTTTACTCTGTTAGCCTCCAGCTCTTCAGGACTCTTCTTCCTTCTTGTCTTCTTTACTGGGCTAGACGTGGTGGACTTGGGAAGAGGTAGTGATAAGGCTGATGAAGTTGGAGGAAAATGGACATCTTGAATGTCAGAAGGTTCTGAACCTCCAGCTTTTATTGTAGGAACAGTCCAGCCAAGTTCTCCACCATGTCCTCCTTGTCCAGGTCTCAAAAGCTCCCTAGGTTCTGCCTTTACAAATAGACTGCCATCTACATCATCCAACACTTGCTTACATTTTATTCCTGCCTCTGCTCCCTTGATGTCCTCTGTTAGAATACAGTCTGGCTCTTCCTCTTCTGAATCTGATATCTCCCATGTTTTGGCTCTTTTCCTGGGGGAACTGGTGACTGTGATTTTCACCTGCCTCTGCTCCCATGTTTAAAGCGTATGTAAACCCAAGAATAAAAAAGATAGGATCTGTTAGCTTAGCCTCACACAGTGTCTTTTTTTTCTCACTGTTGTTGTACCTGGTGATCCTGCCAGTAAGCACCTGCACATGAACTTCCTCCAAGACAGTGACAACGTTTACTCACAACTCAACATTTATGCAGGAAAGTGTTGTCACCCTCATGATACGACACACATCGTCCACACCACTTCAATTATTTGTAAAGCAACTACCGCCAATAAGAGTGCCAGTGGATCCTGATTCTCCACAGCTAGAAAGCAGAAGTAGAGGAAATGATTTCTAAAGACATGCACAGCGCTGGATTTTTTTTCCTATTATAAAGCAAGTTTACTAAGCAACTAAAAATAAAAAAAAAGGACACCACTCCCTCTTCCTTTAAAACAGATCACAACTCTCTCTTATTTAATTAAAGGGCTTATTTATACTTCAAGACAAAATATATTAAAGGAAAAAAATCCAGGATATTGCAAACAATGCCATTCACTTATGGATGGGGAAGGGAACATGTGATCATTTCGAAAAAAATGTAATGTAACAATTTGCGGGAGAGAGGATCCATTATTTCCATTAATAGAGATTTCCATAAATAGATATTGGGCAAAGCCCTGAAACCCCTTAATATACCGCATTGATATATGATCAATGCTTACAGCTACATCTAGTGTCAGCCATGACACATGATATACATTGGTCATCAGTCCTCCTATCATTGATTTACATTGTAGATTGTACACACACGATGTACAAACATGGACAAGGTATTAGTTCTGATACAAACCATTCTTGTCTTTATTAATATCTGATTGCTATTAGTATAGATTTGCTCTGAGTTTATCTATCTAAAAATTAATGACAGATAACAATCACCTTCCCTATAGAACTGTCAATAAATAAAACAAAGGCAGCAAACTAAACCAGAACACAGTCCCCCTCACACAGGGACAAGCCAGCACCACGAACAGCCATCTACCCACACCATGATCCCTACAAGACTCCCAGTCTCTGGACACCAGCTGGACCCTCTGGGCTTCAACAAAATGGCTCCGAGTCTCTGCCCTCTACTAAACAATACAGCCACGTGGCGCCCACTGATTCCATCACATGCACAGGAGCGGCCATATTTGTTCTGGGCACTCTGCTTACTCTATCAAGTATATTTTATAGATGTTAATGTGATATTTTATATAAGCATTACATCTCTGCACAAGGCTTGGTAAAGGGTCTGACAGGTGGGATCATGTGACACTTGTGACAGCTGGGTATAGGTAATTGCAATCCAGCATGAAAGGAGTTAACACTTTCTCAGAGCGAGATCGCTGATCGTCTGCTTATGCCTGAAACTGGCACATGCGCAGATACATCAAGGGGGGGGCAGATCCTCACGGGAGACACATCTTCATGCAACACACGGTGTCAGGCAGGAATATGGCGCAGGAATATGGCGCAGGCTCTGTCAGAGGATGAGTTCCAGCGGATGCAGGTAAGGGGGGACCCCAGGGGGGCAGCTATGGGGTGATGTCTCTCCTAGCAGTGTGGCTGACACCTTTCTGTGCCTGCAGACTGTAAACAACATCTTCTATAAAGGATGAATTGCTCTGGGTATTAGAGGAGGAATGAGAGGCAAGGAGACCTGTGCTGGCTGTGTCAGGATCCCCCCCTGTGCTCTGTTGTCACAGCAACAGCACCTGTCATGAGTCATTGTGCTGGTGGTGATATCATTTGTCTCTGTACTAGTTGTGTCACTGCAGCCAGCACTGGTGACATCATATGTAATATTCCACCCAGCGCTGGTGACATCATATGTAATATTCCACCCAGCGCTGGTGACATCGTATGTAATATTCCACCCAGCGCTGGTGACATCGTATGTAATATTCCACCCAGCGCTGGTGACATCGTATGTAATATTCCACCCAGCGCTGGTGACATCGTATGTAATATTCCACCCAGCGCTGGTGACATCGTATGTAATATTCCACCCAGCGCTGGTGACATCGTATGTAATATTCCACCCAGCGCTGGTGACATCGTATGTAATATTCCACCCAGCGCTGGTGACATCGTATGTAATATTCCACCCAGCGCTGGTGACATCGTATGTAATATTCCACCCAGCGCTGGTGACATCGTATGTAATATTCCACCCAGCGCTGGTGACATCGTATGTAATATTCCACCCAGCGCTGGTGACATCGTATGTAATATTCCACCCCAGCGCTGCTGTGACATCGTATGTAATATTCCACCCAGCGCTGGTGACATCGTATGTAATATTCCACCCAGCGCTGGTGACATCGTATGTAATATTCCACCCAGCGCTGGTGACATCGTATGTAATATTCCACCCACCCAGTATGGTGACATCGTATGTATTATTCCACCCAGCGCTGGTGACATCGTATGTAATATTCCACCCAGCGCTGGTGACATCGTATGTAATATTCCACCCAGCGCTGGTGACATCGTATGCAATATTCCACCCAGCGCTGGTGACATCGTATGTAATATTCCACCCAACACTGGCGATGTCACATGTCACTGCACCCAGCACCTGTTATGTGTCATCGTACTAGTGATGTCACTGCACCCAGCGCTGGTGACATCATATGTAATATTCCACCCAGCGCTGGTGACATCATATGTAATATTCCACCCAACACTGGCGATGTCACATGTCACTGCACCCAGCACCTGTTATGTGTCATCGTACTAGTAGTGATGTCACTGCACCCAGCGCTGGTGACATCGTATGTAATATTCCACCCAGCGCTGGTGACATCGTATGTAATATTCCACCCAGCGCTGGTGACATCGTATGTAATATTCCACCCAGCGCTGGTGACATCGTATGCAATATTCCACCCAGCGCTGGTGACATCGTATGTAATATTCCACCCAGCGCTGGTGACATCGTATGCAATATTCCACCCAGCGCTGGTGATGTCACATGTCACTGCACCCAACCTGTTATGTGTCATCGTACTAGTGATGTCACTGCACCCAGCACTGGTGACATCGTATGTATATTCCACCCAGCGCTGGTGACATCATATGTAATATTCCACCCAACACTGGCGATGTCACATGTCACTGCACCCAGCACCTGTTATGTGTCATCGTACTAGTGATGTCACTGCACCCAGCGCTGGTGACATCGTATGTAATATTCCACCCAGCGCTGGTGACATCGTATGTAATATTCCACCCAGCGCTGGTGACATCGTATGTAATATTCCACCCAGCGCTGGTGACATCGTATGTAATATTCCACCCAGCGCTGGTGACATCGTATGTAATATTCCACCCAGCGCTGGTGACATCGTATGCAATATTCCACCCAGCGCTGGTGACATCGTCACATGCAATATTCCACCCAGCGCTGGTGACATCGTATGCTATATGTCACTGCACCCAGCGCTGGTGACATCGTATGTAATATTCCACCCAGCGCTGGTGACATCGTATGTAATATTCCACCCAACACTGGCGATGTCACATGTCACTGCACCCAGCACCTGTTATGTGTCATCGTACTAGTGATGTCACTGCAGCCAGCACTGGTGACATATGTAATATTCCACCCAGCACTGGTGATGTCACTGCATGTAATATTCCAGCACCTGTTTTGTGTCATTGTACTAGTGATGTCACTGCACCCAGCACTGGTGACATCATATGTAATATCCACCCAACACTGGCGATGTCACATGTCACTGCACCCAGCACCTGTTATGTGTCATTGTACTAGTGATGTCACATGCACCCAGCCTGTTCCTGGCTTCACTCTTCCCCCAGTGCTCGGAGAGAGCATCAGTACTATTTCACCCAGGTGTCGTCTATGTGTGGGCAATGGCAGCTGCCATGTTTTTGGGGTCCAGCAGTGTCTGGGACATGCCCATGAGGTCACTGCCAGGCATTGGCAGAGCTTCCAGTCGGGTGTGCGGCATCAGTTCTGGCCCAGCGCTGATGCAGGGGGGAAGGGGCAGGACCCAAGCAGTGCCTATTTTTGGTCCTGGGCCGGTGCATGTCACTGCATTCCCAGGATGCTGGGACCAGGAGACAGCCACATGGGATGCTGCAGGCTTTGCTTTGGAGGAGTCAGGAGTGACATGCTGCAGCTCCAGGGACAGGTACCAGCAAAGCCCAGGTAGGAGAGAGCTTCTTATGGGAAAACTGTATTATGCTGCTTTTGTTTGGCACTGTGGTGTCTTTTTCCCTCTAGTGGCTCAGGGCCTGTCTTGTGCTCTGGATCCTGGGTGTGTGGGGTCAGTCACTGGTGGTGTGGAGGTTTGGGCTCTGGTTGCGTTTGTGTGTTTCAGGTTAGTCAGTGGCTAAGTGGTTGTGTTCCTTGTGCTTTGTCTTAGGCTAAGGGCAGTGGAAAACAAATCTAGCAAGAGGAAATGCCCTTCATGCAAGTGAAAATTGTCAGATACTTGGAAAAAGCCTTTATGCAAGGAGTGCGTTTCTGCTTTGGTGAGAGAGGAGAAAGCGTCAAACTTCTGGTGATTTTCTTTCTTCCATGACTGGCTGAGTACAGTGCAACCTTGCAGTCTTTCAGAAATATGTTGGAGTCTTCCCCCAGAGTGCTTCTGAGCCTACCCCCACACCTCAATCATCAGCTTCCTTGGAAGCAGGGTCAGGGATACCGTCCTCTTAAGTGGCTGTCTCTCCTCCTTGGTCAGATGGAGAGTCAGAGGATGATGTGGGAGAGGTGGAGGATTCCTCAGTATCTAAATATAAGCTGTCGCTGGAGGATGTGGAATATCTGCTTAAAGCGATTCATGCCACCTTAGGCATTAAAGAGGAGGAAAGAGATCTCTCCCTACATAATAAAATTTACCTGAGCCTTAGTGAGCCAAAAGAGAGATGTTTTCATGTACATTCAGCCATCTCAGATATGATACAAAAAAAAGTAATGGCAGGGTCAGGAAAGGAAACCGTTTTTTTCTAGACCACAGAGATG